TCCAATCCATAATTCCTCTTTTAGGTTTTAGAGAACAGACTGTGAGAGAATGTTCCAGGGAAAATACAAAAAAAAAACCACGAGACTAGACAAGGACATAAGCAGGGAAGATAAGGGAGAGAAGAAAAAGTGTGTCCGCCTCCTCCGAGAGCCAAAGAAAAAAAAAAAAAAGCATGAATTCTGGTAACTTTGTCTGAAATATAGCCGGCTGTGTGCTTCAACACAAAGTCGATTTTATTAGTGTTACTGCGTGTTATGTTAAGGCACACCAGTGGTTTTCATTAAAATCCCTTCTCAAAGTATGACAAATGCATATTTTTCTGCAGTCAACCTCACCTGATACTTAACACAGCCATATTGTGTTAATCAGTTCTCTGTTCTCTTCTTTAATGTGTCATTATCACCTTTGTCCACCATGTTTCTGCAGAGTTAGTCGTTTTCTCCTCCAAGACTCTGACAAAAATGACACATACCGTCAGTAAGCAGTGTTCTTTGGATGAACTTTGGACTTTGTGTTTTAAAACATTTATTCTGCAAAAAGTAAAACAAAAATCTTCATTTTGTGTTCAGCTTCTCAGAAACACACAGACAGCCCACTGTCAGGCCAATAAAACAGGTCTAACAGCATTACTTGTTGTTGACAATGTTCACACAGGAGAGATTTTGTCATGTGACGGCTGTGTGCAGGCAGGAAAAGTACCCAAATGTAGAGTCATCTGAGGCGGGAGCGAAAGTCAAAAAGCAGCTTTATTGCTGAACAGAAAAACCATACAAATCCTAAACTGTGGAGTGTTGTTGGTGTGAAGAAACTGTAAGTTTGCTTTGTTTCCTCCTTTAACAGTTTGTCTTTAGGAACTTTACTGTTTGTTCAGCTCATGTTTGATTTCTTCACACAACAAACTGTGTGTGTTTGTATTAAAGTCAGTGTGTAATGTTTTCTAACGAGGCCGAGTGTGTCCGCCATTCTCTCTCTCTCTCTCTCTCTCTCCGTGTGTGTGTGTGTTCAGAGTACGGGAATCAACACACTGAATGTGGTCTGATCTCAGCTTTTGCTTTTTTCTTGGTAAGAAAAAAATTTGAAAAAAAATATTTTTAAGTTTTAGATATAATTTTGATCCATACAGGACTTTTATGTATTTATTATTTATTAATAACCAAACTAAAGCTTTTGTCTTCTGTCTGTATGTTGTCTGTATGTCTGTATGTTACAGATGTTTATATATATATTTATTGTGAAACAGAACAAATGAGCAATTTTCCATAAACAAACGCTAACATTTAGACATTGATTCAGTTAAAGGACTAGATGTTGTAGTCCCTGATAATGCATTGCTTTAAATGGAGAGAATCTTGAGGGATGGCTGTTATGAGGAAAGGCAGCACAGAAACTTTACCAGCGGCACATATCGTTGTGTGCCTCAACTTTCAGTCTTATTTCGGATAATCTGCCATTTTGGGGGGGGGATTTGAGTTCTGATCTAGATTATCATTTTAAATTTGGGACACATCATCAGTAGTGGACCTTGGATTCATCAGGTGTTTCCCATTATCACTAGACACCCTTATCCAAGGGGGCCCTGCCAGGGCTGATCAGTCCCTGGATTGTGTCACTGGTTTATGTTAAATTGTTATTTCTCTTTCTCCTGTTTAGTTTCCTACATTTTTCTTTCTATCTATTCACTGCAACTGAGAAATGATTACCCCTTTAGCATTTACGGAGCCTTACTTCTTCAAAGTGATGGAAAAGGTGATAGAGAGAAGTAAGACAAAAGGGACAAGATAGGAGAGAGCAGAGAGGAGAGCCAGAAGGGGGCGCCTGGTCTGGCTTCCCACACCTCCCCGCCGGATCGGGCTGTACAAACTTGTACTAAACTGTTTTCTCGCACTGCAGTGAAAATGCACTCAAACTTTGACTTTTAACAAATTAAACTTTATAGTGATGTGTAGGAGAGCAACATATAAACAGTTATTTTTTCCCACTTCGCATAATCTTATAATAAATTTGCTCATTCTTCATAAATAGCAAAATAGATCCTCTAATCTGATTTGTTTTTTATGTTTTAATGGCAACGTGGACAGAAGTTTTAACTGCTTGGGCAAAAAAGCTTAAAGTATAAAACCAGGACTTTAACTTTGATCAGAGTTTCCACAGTGAGTTAAAAAGTATTTCTACAGCAGCTCCGAGAACTTCTATCAACAGTTTTCTGAATCCTCTAAATTCCTGATCTTCATATGAAACTTAGAGTGGAAAAGTTCTTTCTTGTGCTGCATTCAGGAGTATAAGGAGTATAGCAAAAATATAGGGCAGAGCAATGTGTCCAAAATATTTATCACGATATATATTTGAAAATTTACGATAACGATATAGCTGATGCAAGACAAAATACTTTACAACTCCACAACTTTATTAGTGCAAAAAACCCCATCAATGTATTTTCACTTAAACAAGCAGCTTTTTTATGTGCATTAAAGTTATATAAAATTTTAACTTAAATGCAAATTCCTTGCTGACAGTTTAACCAAAAGGCATTTCAAGTGGAGATGGGCTGACATATCCTCAGCTTAACCATGTATAATATCCACACAAGTCAAAAACAGGTGCTTTGCATTATGAAACTGCAGTGTGCCAAATACATAAGTCAATACGTATTTTTTGGAACATAAGGTGCACAGGATTATAAGGCGCATTAGGGGAAACAAAACAGTAAGTAAGTCAAACTCATTCTTCTTGCTTCCTCCATACCATTGATTCATTAATGTTGAATTCTCTGGCAGCTGTTTTATTCCCAAGTTCGACTGCGCAACTGAAAGCCTTGAGTTTAAAAAGCGCTTCTCTGAATAGGTGCCATTTTGGGGTCCTTATACACACACAATACGGTAATATTATGTTGAAGCACAGTACGTATCACTTGCGAGGCTCCTGCCTACAGTAGCCGTAATGATCTGACAATCCATCAAGCAGTGCGGCTTCGTAACTTACTAAAGTTGTACTAAAACATTTTTTGACAGATTTTTAAAAATTGGTTTGAGACCAGTAAGCACAATCAGAATTGGTTTCCCCTCCAGCGAGGAGTTGACTTAGAAACCAGGTCACAGTGATGTGACCTGGTTTCTAGGTTACATGACAGGTCAGAGGTCAGCAACTGTGACTCAGTTACTCCTATTAATGTGAACTCACTCAGTGTTTGTGGTTTACCTCTCAGACTGACTGAAGATGATGATGGAGGAAGAGGAGGACAGAGCAGAGACTGCAGGATCCAGCTGTCCGTCTGTGAGGAGTGACCGGTCCAAAGATGTAACTCCACATTTCAGTGGTGAACCTGGACCAATGAGGAAAACTCTGAGAAGCAGGAAAATTTGTGATGAGAGGTAAAATAATTTAATTCTCAGACAGTCAAGCAATGGCACTGGATTCACCATTGACATGACATTGGTGGAATTATTGCTCATGTGGTCCTGGGGCTTTCCTGCTCTGGTGGAGGCCTCAGGATGTCTAGGGCCTGGGTCTCCTGCATGCTTGCTTCTTCTCCTGGGGGGCAGGGCAGATTCCTCACACCCACTATTAGACAATTACATGGAGAAAGCTTATAAACACAAGTGTGCTCACACACACGGGTATACAAACAAGTACTCAGCTGCTGCCTTTAAAAGCATCTTGTATTATTAACAGTGTGTGCTGTTCAGCAACATTTATTATTGATTATTTACTGTTATTTATACACGTTGGTTGTTGCTGATGTTCCTCTGCTGTTTTTTTTAAATGTTTTTTTAATATATTTTTAATGCAGTTTTTGTTTTTTCTCTCTCTCCCTCTCCTAACTTTCTCATCAACTTCTCTTTCTTTCCTCAATTTCTTTCTGTACCCCGGTCTTTTTATCAGTCATTGAATAAAATATGTTTGTGTCTGCAGAGGTCAGAGGTCACAGTCTGCAGGATCCAGCTGTCCATCTGTGAGGAGTGAGCGGTCCAAAGATCAACCTCCACTCTTCAGTGCTGAACCTGGACCAACGAGGTCAGAGAGCTGTGATGACTCCTTTACATGTTTGGGTTTTCCTGGATAAATATGACCTGAAACATCCTCAGATTGTTACAAAGATTCATTAAAAAGAAAACAATGAAAGAGAAAAGATCAAAATGTTAGACTTGGTCATTTGCTGTTTGAGGACAGTGATGGTCATATCTGTGGGGAAAGTGTGACCTGAGTGGGTTCATGTTTGTCTTTAAAGAACAGAGCTGCTCTGATTCTCTTTGTGTCTGATCTGTTAAACAGTCTGAGAGGTCACAAAGAGACCCAGCAGCTAAAGCCTGGATCATACTGGCTGCTGTTAATGAGACAACACTGAACCACAGTGGTGTGGATGTAGTGGATAAATCCCACCATACTGATGCTCAGATTTAATCACAGGGAACAAAACCAGATGTTACCTTCAGATTGTGACCTTTGGAGTGGAGGATGCAGATTTCAATAGAGAATAAATGTTGTTGTTTTTCAGCTGTAAAAAAAAGAATCTAATTTTCTGAACTTAAGAATTTATGATGGTGGAAAAAACATGGTGACTATAACACAACATTTCCACTGTATTCATAGAATGAATGTAAAACTTTCAGACATTCATTAAATATGCAAAATGTCTACAGAAACATCAGAGGGTCAGATGTGAAGCCCTCAGTGATTTTGATAAAATGACTCATCAGTTATTGATCTGTACTACATTGATCTACCACGTTAGTAAAACTGGTGTTCTGGTGGTGGAGGGAGACCTCGGATCATGTTCTGGTTTTGGAGCAGTGATCTGCTGATGGTTCAGTTTAATGAGCTTCTTCCAAATCATCCCTGACATCACCACTGAAAGGATGTCCATAAAAAAGAAACTGAAAAAAATTACTGATATGTTCACAATCTGAGAGGTTAAAACTTGACAAACTTGATTCAGATGAAGTTTTTTCAGCAGAATCTACTGGATCTTTATCCTGTGCTTGAACTAATCCTTCATGTTTCCTCCACAGAGTGGACCAGCAGAGCTCAGAGGTTCCCAGTGGTCAGTCTGCCCAGCAGCATCAAACACAGCTGGACTCCATATTTATGGTCTGTACATGTACAACAACTACTGTTACATCTATTCTATTCACAGTCATCTCCATGCTGCTCTTTGTAGACCAGTAGATTGTCAGTGTGTCCAACATGGATCTGATGTTTGGCTCCATGAGTTCAGTCTCATTGGCTCATTCATAAAGTATTCTGTTCCAGCTGCTGGAGGACAACATCATCACTTTTGTGAAGAACGAGATGAAGAAGATCCAGAAGGTTCTGAGTCCAGATTACCCAGAATGCTTAGAGAGTCAGAGGGAGGATGACGAGCAGAGGAGCAGCAGCAGAAAGGCAATTGTGAAGATCACAGTGGACTTCCTGAGGAGAATGAAGCAGGAGGAGCTGGCTGACCGTCTGCAGAGCAGTAAGAGGATTTATCTAAAGATTTAAGCTACTGGATAAATGAGACACCTGTGACACCAGTGTGTTCAGTCATTTCTCAGTGAGTCAGAAATTTTCATCAGCGTTTTGTAAAATACAGTTGTTGAAGTTGTATTTTTAATATTATTATTCAGAACTTCCAGCTGC